GGAGCCATAGCCACAGCCATATCTAGAACCGTAGCCACAGCCATAGCCTGAGCCATAGCCACAGCCATAGCCTGAGCCATAGCCACAGCCGTAGCTGCCATAGGAGTTTCCAAAGTAGTTGCAATACATGGTGTCAGGAGGTGAAGTTTCAGGTGAACTGTAGGAGGATCTTTCTGAAGTTGAGTATCAACTGCTCTTGCAGGACACTTATATACTTCCAGGCATGGGTGTGCCCTACCTCACATGGGCTCAGTTCTCATTTTAAAGTTATTTGCTAAAGTGAACTCATTCTGTGTACAACAATCTTTTCTGTATGTCACATTACTTACTGTCACCCTAGGAATTTTCTAATAGTTATTTTTAATATATATGTGCTAAATACCCAAGCTTATATAACCCTAATTTTACTCCCACAATTGTATTTCATGGCAATGACATAACACATCAACAAATATGTTTGGCTTATATGTATGCTTACTATTTTGCTCTTTCATTGTTTTAGAAAGCAACTGCAATATTTACTACAAGGTTATACAAATTGCTCTTAATAACTCCCCGTCCACATCATCAGTATCACTATATTATCATATCACATTGTTTTCCTTTGTCCAGTAGTAAATACTTTAAGCTACTTTGCATATAGTTTGGAATGGGAATTGGGCATTTTGATATGCTGCAGTTAGCACCTGAATCCTCTCTGAAGATAAACTTGTCTCTCTCTTTATCTTCCATCAGCTCATGATATTCTATCTTCAGGGTAAAATATTTTTAGTGAACACCAGAAAAGCATTCTATGGCATCCTGTAACTAATTTAACCAAAAATGAAAACTTTTATAAGAGTTTGAACTGAATGTGAGGAAAATGACTTGGTTTAAGAACTCCTTTGTTCGACCCTCCCTGGTGGCACAGTCAGTTAAAGCACAGCACTGAGTATCTAAAGCCTCTTCCACATGAGTTTGATTCCCGCCTGCCCCGGAGGTGACCACATGGCGTGGCAGACCTCTCCTGACCCGCCC